TACGGTGAATGGCGATCGCTATCGTTCGATGCTAACAAACTTTTTGTTGCCAAAAATGGAAGAACTGAACTTGGTTGACATGTGGTTTCAACAAGATGGCGCTACATGCCACACAGCTCGCGATTCTATGGCCATTTGAGGGAAAACTTCGGAGAACAATTCATCTCAAGAAATGGACCGGTAAGTTGGCCACCAAGATCATGCGATTTGACGCCTTTAGACTATTTTTTGTGGGGCTACGTCAAGTCTAAAGTCTACAGAAATAAGCCAGCAACTATTCCAGCTTTGGAAGACAACATTTCCGAAGAAATTCGGGCTATTCCGGCCGAAATGCTCGAAAAAGTTGCCCAAAATTGGACTTTCCGAATGGACCACCTAAGACGCAGCCGCGGTCAACATTTAAATGAAATTATCTTCAAAAAGTAAATGTCATGGACCAATCTAACGTTTCAAATAAAGAACCGATGAGATTTTGCAAATTTTATGCGTTTTTTTTAAAAAAAAGGTATCAAGCTCTTAAAAAATCACCCGTTATAAGGATGTGCTAACGCATAAAACTAGATTTACCGCGATATGTATTGGAATATGTATGTAAGTACGTTGCAGCAATGAAAATTATGTCCTTTCTACAAAAGAACCGAAATCAGCAAAATCCTTTCACTTTCCCCATACATACCTACAAATAGAAGTTTCTTTCACGTAGCACGTGAGTTTGTGTGATTGATCATTATAAAGCTTAATTGGTTTTAATAATGATGGAATGAAAAATTGCAGTTCGAGTTTGCATTCCAAATTTCTACTCATTTTCACTACTTTGTTGTTATTTATCTAAATATCTGAACCAGCATATTTGTGTGAAGCTAGTTAGTGTACACCTTGTTCTTATATAATATTCACAATTATTTTCATGCAATTTTTTTTTTCATTATTTACTTATGAAACTAGTTATAGTTCATTCTATAAGATAAACCATATGTTCCATATGACACATAATCAAAATCGATTTTTATATGGGAGAAAATGCGCAAACCCTCCACAAAAAAAAATTCTAAAAAATCAAAGGTGATTTTTAGCGACTTGGAACCTGGAAATTTTCTAGAAATTCTGAATAAAAATTATGAAATTTTTGTGGAAATTTTTTGTATTATTGTGTACTTTATGTAAAGTGTGAAAGTTTGATTTATATGGTTTATTTTATAGAATGAACTACACATACTTTCTTAAATAATCAATGAAATAAAAAACTTTTAATGAAAATAAATATTAGAACAAGGTGTACACTAACATTTAACACTCACTGTATGTAAAAGGAAAAAAGTAAGTAAGTACAACCGCTTGATTTCGTCAATTAGTCAAAGTGAAAAGATAAACTTTTGCTCACGCATTCATATACATATGTACGTATGTTTATGCATTTAATTTTGTAGTTATGCACATCAGAATTACAAGAGTAATCCGATTATACACCCGGTGCTACGTAACTAACTATAGTACCTCTGTTTTACGTTTACATGGAGGAGTGAACATATTTTACTAATCACTACCGATGAAAGTTTTATGCAACGCATATGAAAACTTTTGCTCCACAACAAACTATGTACATATGAGCGCTCTTTAAATTTGCTTAAAATTTGGAGTGTAATGCAATTCAAATCGTTAAAAAAAAATATTTTCAAACATGTAGTTAAACTTTCAGCTTTTGTATGCAAGCGGTCTCATTTATAGGGGTACCACAAGTAAACTTACATAAAAAAAAAATTGGCCATTATTGTGTACGATCTTTAGCCATTTTCCGGATAGCTTTATAATTTTATGGGTATAGAACATCTTTCGTTTATCGGGGAAAAAATTGGTGAAGTAATGTCAAGTTTTGCAGACGTTTGTAGGTAAAACGGAGCCAGGTCCGGGCTATAGAGCGGATTCATTAAAACTTTCCAACAAGGTTCAGCGAATTTGTTCCGAGTCAGCAAATATATGTGTGACCTCGCATTGTCATGGTGGAACACAACTCCTTTCCTGTTGACCGATTCTGGTCGCTAGTAGAGGACCAAATTTGTTATTTTCCTGCCCTGTATCAGCTCATAATGGACAATCCCCTTCCAATCCCGCCAAAGGCTCAACAAAGCCTTGTTTGCCATCAATCCGGGGTTTAAAGTAATTTCTGAAGGGTCGTCGGTGTTTGACTATGATCGCTTGGGTAATTTATTCCCACATGCAATCCATTCCTCAACATCTCTAATGATTGGCTTCAAAGATTGTGCGTTTCAGCAGCATTTCACTGATGGCCAATGCAATTTCTTTGCTTTTTTTTCATGCGGCAACCAAACATCGAGCTTCCTCGAGTAGCCTGCTATTTTTAGCTCATGTGACTATCTCCTGACAGCTTGCATGCCGGCCTTGCTCAACCACTGCAATGCGCATACTTGGTGTCGAAATTTCCGGAACGGAATCAAGCAAATCACTCCTCCGAACAGGTCGGGATCTCTTCCTATGCCAGTTACAGAGTTCGTACCATTCAGTGGGGTAAATAAGTGTTCCCTCCCCATTTCAAACATGTTCTGGACATAGGTCGCCGTGTTTGGTTTTACAAATATTTGATCTGGTCTTGAAACCTTCTGTATATCCCCTTACTTTCCAGCATCTCAAGCTCTTCGCATTTGGCTATTCTCATTAACGAAGACAATGCTATTATTTTCTCACTGATTCCACGTGGTGAATAATAAGTTGATTTTTAAGATTTCGGTGGCATTACTATATACATACATATGTACAGTGTAATTAGTGTAGATAACATGCAAAAATTATTAAGAAGGCAGTCCTTGTAGATAAATATGTCACATGCACAACGGCTAAATTGTGCTCCATGATTGCACCTCAAAATATAAGATTTTGTTATTAATTACATATATTTTACTGCAACTTTTTATAAACTAAAAATTTGTTTAAAACATTGCCATTAAACTTTCTTGGGCCTTATTTTAGCAAATATCTACTGTTACTCCACTTTTTTCAGGTTTTCTCGTTCTCACACACATCACTCCCTAACACTAACACCCACGTATATTTATTGCCTTGCTCGGTCGTTTCATAGTTGAAGGCAGACAACAAACAGCTGACCTATGCAAACATAAATCGGATTTTATTGTTAAGTTGATTATATTTCACTTTATTTACATAATGTCCGCAATACTGACAAACAACTGATGCCAAGGCAAACAACCAAAAATGCACAGTGAAAAATTTTTGATGAACAAATAAAAAAGTAGGATGAAAAAAATACATAAATTAGAGAATTATGTTCGTTTACACCTATTTCATTTTGAAGAATGGAGAATTTAGGATAAGGTTACTTATTAGAATGAAAACATAAGGCCAATTATTTCGAAGAGGCAATTAAGCAACTGTGGGTATTGAGTAACTCTAGTAGAATTTGGAAGCTAATAGGATTTATTCGTAAAATATTATTAAAACTATGTCTTCAATCTGGACTTTTACATAGGCTTTTTTTATATTAAATACACGGAAAGAAATAAAATTAGTTTTGGAAGACTGGACTTTTCTCTGGTTTTGTCGGAGTTTTTCGTTATAAGACTAATACGGCTACCAGGCCACAATGGCCCTTCATAGCTTATGGGTCAACCAGAAAGGGTTGGGCTTACCCTTGGATTAGTAGGAGGGGGACCTAAACGGCCGTGTATTTATGCAGTTGCTATAGATTTTACTACCATAAACCTCGTATGACTATAAAAAAAAAACCAACAGCGTGGTTAATAAAATTGAGGATTTTGCGAAAGCTTATATCTGACAGATCTTTGAACTATGTGTACTCATACGCTTAGGCTAGGTAACTGCAAAAGTGGTCACAAAATGTTCATTGTTCGTTTTCCTTCCTTCAGCTTGTACAGCATTCATTGAGGCGATACCTATCCTTCTGGCGTGTGTTCAGTCGAATATATAAAATTCTCCATCCCAGTGGGCTGAAGGAGGGAAGAAGGAGGACCCCATAGTGGCAGTAAATTTCTATTTCAAGTCAATTATAATCTGTGTCTTGATTTATCTTGACCGGCAAGGGAGAAGCTTTGCAACTATGCCCAATCTTTTTCTTTTCACACACTCAGTTCTCTGAGGCCTGCAGCAGACAGTGAAGCAATGTAAAATATGTGGAGATCCCTTGGAAATAAACTTGTTTTTTTTTTTAATTGAGAGCGCCTGTAGGCGGTCTCTTGAAGAGACAGACCTCAAGTCAGCTCAGGGAGCATTGACCAAAAACTAGAACTGGCTAAAGATTTTCATAAAAAAATATTCTCTGTGTAATGTTACCATATTTGCTTAGATTTCCTTCAAAATCATGAAACCATATATATCCATACATACGTACATATATTCCGGTATTTGTGTGAATGTTTTCGAAGACATGCTGGCGCTCCTACTCAATTGTCTAAGGATTTATTTGAAAATTTCTGTGCGGAAAACTTTCTTTTTTATTTAACTCTACAATTTTTATAGGTATTTTTCTCATAGCACTTGATAACCAATACCTCTATGGAAACATATAAACAATTATATGGGGTGTGTACGTGTGTGTGTGTGTAAGACTTTCCCATTTGATCAGGTTCAACGTCATGGTCGTATTCTTGAACGCTTGTCTACCAGCCAGAGTATGCGTTTGTGAAATTTCTTTCAAAAGAAATGCACAAGTACCCATTTTACAATGAAAAAACATAAAAAAGTCGAAATAAGACATAAAAGGAAAAATCAATAGTCTTACCAAGAGTGATGTAGTTAAAGAATGGCTGAACCAAATTGTTTGCTAAGGAAAAAATAAGTATGCAGAAGAAATACAAAAATACGTAGAAAATGAGTGTAAGCAAAATTTGCCACAGTCATAGAAGGGACTATGGACCAAAGCAGAGGATGCCGTAGAGATGCGTGTAAGTGAGAAATGTCCTTTTTCACATGTCACAATCATAAGTCGGATACGCAA